GCCCTTGGCACCCCTCGGGGACGCCGCCGAGGTGTGCAGCGCTTCCGTGCTTCGAGGACGGTTGCGGAGGACTGTGGCCCCCTGCCTGTAGCGATGTGCATGGCGTGCAGTCGGACCGAGGCAGAAGATCCGAAGGAGAAGCACTGGCATAAGCATCAGCTTTTGGCGCTCTGCGCGGATTTCTTGGATCCGCGCTGGGCCCCCCTGGCGTCGCCTCCTGCGCCGCTCCTGGCGCGCTCCGCGCGCCAGGGAGGGGTCCAACGCAGATCCAGGAAATCCGCGCGGACCGGCATTTTTTAAAATGTTTATGCCATTCGTGGGGGATGCCCTAAAGTTCTCCGTGCTCGTGGGCTGTTCTTGTGCATCCTGGAGAGGGTACCCTTGGATGTTCTGTGTGTGTTTTGGCCGGCGGAGGGTCTCGTGTTCTTGAGGGATGTTCTTTTGTTTCAGGTCCGACTGTAGTACCCTGCCTGTAGCGATATGCATGGCGTACCTTGTCGGTAATGCTGTAGACGAAGTAGCGTAGTGGCCTCCTGGTTGAAACAACTTGTAGCTGTGGTCCTTGTAGCTCAGGGCCTGCCGTCTCCACGAGCACGCTCCGTAGTCTCGTGGGGACGTTGAGGCAGACACCGTGCTGGTGGCCGCCGCGGCTCGGCTGGATGCCCTCGTAGCTCAGCCAGCAGTCCACGGAGCTCTGCTGGTCCTCACAGCTGTGCTGGTGGCCGTCGTACCTCACACGTTGGCCCAAGTAGCTCAGATGGTGGCCCTTGTAATTCACCAGGTGGCCCTCGTAGCTGCGCAGGTGGCCCTCGCAGCTCTGGTGGTGGCCCTCGCAGCTCATGTAGCTCAGCTGGTGGCCCTCGGAGCCTGCGTAGCTCAGGCGGCTGTCCTCGTAGCTCAGCTGGTGGCCCAAGTAGCCCGGGTCGTAGCGCGCTCGCCCGCGCCCCCCCCCCCCCCCCTCCCCCCACTCCCCCCCTCCCCTCCCCCCCCCCCCCTTCCGGGCACTCGGGGTTGCCGCGCCGCCGTGGGTTCCTCGTCCTGCCCCCCCTCCACCCTTCTCCTTGCCCTCCTCCCTTCTGCTGGTGTCTCTCTGACTCTCCAGTTGGCTCCCTCCTCCCCTCTGCACCCGCGCGCCGCGCAGCCGTCTGCTGATCATCTCGGTGAGGGAGGCAGGGGACCAACCCCTCCTCCTTCCCTCCTGCCTCTGCTCCCCCTGCTCCCTCCCCCATCGCCCTCCTCCCCCTCCTTCCCCCTCTCCTTTCCCCTCTCCCCCCCTCCCCTTCTTTCTCCCTCCTCCCTCCTCCTCCCTTCCAACAGAGGGCACAATGGAAGTAGGTAGCAGCTTGTTGCATACCATCACAAGTTGCTAGGAGTTTACCTGGAAGGTAGGACAGGAGGTCGGCTAGAACACCCTGCCCTGCACCTGCAGTCTGGAGAGCCCAAGCGCCCACATCAGTAATGTGGGCCCCTTCAGAGCCTTCGCGAGTGCACCAGAGGCGTGTTTGACCAACGCTGTTTCCAGGACGGGGGTCCATCAGAATACGGACGGGCTCCCACACAGATGCTTGAAATACGCATTCCAGCTCTCCATCCAGCCTCACAGTCAACAACAGGGGCAGGTGCTCGCACGAGAAGGGTGCTCATCTAACGTTGTGGGGGAACCGTGCAGACGGATCGTGCAGGACAGCTGCGAAAAGGACGCACCCAGCCAGAGTGTGCGGAACCATTCTGGAGGTCGGAAAGGGGTGTGGCATAAAGGGGTGTGGTGCCAATCGTGGAAAAAGGCGATGTTATCTACGATAGTCAATCTCGCCAGATCCATCATTGGCACCACACCCCTTTACACCATACGCCTTTCCTACAACCAGAACCATTGTGGCAGGATTTCTTGAGTCGATTGCCAATGTTTCTGCTGGCTGATGCTCGTGTGTGACGCACTCGGGGAACTTCGGGTGGCTTGGAAACGGGGCGGTCGTGATTTTACGCTGCCCCAGACTGCGCCAGACAGGGAACATCGATCAGGACCAGAGGAGACCCTGAATCGTCCAGATGCGATGTCGAGCTCGGCTAGGACGAGGACAAATCCGTTCCAGAGCGTTCCGGAACGCTCTGAGAAGGTCGCGGCGCCCGAGACATCCTCCAGAGCCGCCGGATCTCAGCGATCCTCGACTTATCCTCCCTCTCTCTGGATTGAGTCCTCGTCCTGGCTGCGTCGTAGGCAGCCCTTCCCCTCCCCGCCCCCGCGAGCCTGGCCAGGCCCCCGAGGTGTCCGCGCCTCTGCCCGAGCGCCCGGCAGGGAGGGCCTCGGGGTGAGGCGGGCCCAGAGGGCGGATCGCAGACACCCAAAGGACGTCGAGGTCCAATTTTAAGTCGGGCCTGTCCCCCTACAGGGGGATTTCCGACGAAAAATAAACAAATGCCCCAACAAATAGTCAAACAATAGTCCCCCCTGTAGGGGGACACGCCCGACATAAGTCCAATTTGAACCTGCCGTCGCCACCCAACATGTGGACCCCCCAGCAGCCATCGGAAGTGGCGAGTGTTTTGCAAAGCTCCCCCACACCAGAGATGTCGAGGTCTGACTTGAAACTGCCGTCGGCAACCACTATGCTGCCCCCCCCAGCAGCCCTCGAACGTGGCGACAGTTTCACACTTCGCAGCCCCTCAAGGATGTCGAGGTCCAAATTCAATCTGCCGTCGGCATCCACTGTGTTGCCCCTCCCAGCAGCCTTCAAAAGCAGAGAAAATTTAGCAGATCGCAGCCCCCATGGGGTCGAGGTCTGATTAGAATCTGCCGTCGGCATCCACCATGATGCCCCTCCTCCCCACCCGCAATCTTCGAAGTTGGCGACAGCCTCGCACTTCGCAGCCCCCCCAAGGGATGTCGAGTTCTAATGTGAATCTTTCGTCGGCACCCACTATGCTTGACCCCCCAGCAACCCTCGAAATCGGCAACCGTTTCACACTTCGCAGCCCCTCAAGGATGTCGAGGTCCAATTTGAATCTGGCCGTCGGCATCCAGCATATGTGTCCCCCCCAGCAGCCTTCAAAAGCAGCGACAGTTTTGCAGATCGCATCTCCAGGGCGGTCGAGGTCTATTTTGAATATGCTGTCGGCACCCACTGTGCTGTCCTCTTCAACAGCCTTTGAACGTGGCGACAGTTTCACACCTCGTGGCTCCCAAGAGGGATGCAAGCAGGCAGGTGCAGGCAGGCGAGAGGGGGACAGAGGGTGGGAGGAGGACAGGAAGGGAGTTGGCGCCCCACTGCTCTATTCCAAACGAGGACCCAACCAAGGGAGGGTTTGGAAACAGAACGGGCATACAATCCATATAGTGAGAAAGAGTAGGAGAAATACAAAGGGACAGAGGAAGAGAAAGAGAAAGAGAGAGAGAGAGAGACGCACGGCCAACCACAAGACATCAATGACACACTGAGAGCCCCAGGCGTTTTCTCATTGCTTTTTTCGGTGTGTGTGTATGTGTGTGTGGGCTGGTACCCCTTTTGGGCCCTCAGCTATCCTGTGCGTCTGCCACAACAGGAATCCTTGATGGCGGATTTCAAACATGTTCGTGGAGGATTACAGCAGGATTCCTCGGGGGCGGATTAGGGAGACACAGAGAGAGAGAGAGAGAGGAAGAGAAAGACAAGAAAGAGAAAGAGACACATGCTCTCCAATAGTCCCAGATTTACGCCTCAAGGGGGGGAGTGTGTGGGGGGGGGGTCACAGGTGTTATCGCGAATCACCCGAGTATGGGTCCCTGCAGGACCACCTCTGGCAACGAACAATATATAGACGCCGAGCAGTTGGCCCTGGGCTGGCCGTCGTCTCCCCCACCGCTCTGCAGCTTGCGGGGGGTGCGGCTGGAGGTGCTGCGGCAGAAGCTGCACGCCGCGGAGAGCGAGCAGGCGGCCCCGGCCGCGGCCGCCTCGGCGCCGCCGCTCTTGGCAGGAGCAGGGTAGGGGGCCGCATGCGAACCCTACCCCTACACCCCACGATTTTTGAAGGGGAGGGTGGGGTTCACTTGGCTCGGGAGCTCCCGAACGAAGTGAACCCCTACAGGGTCCAGGGGAGGAGGAGCCCCCACCAGGTTTCCGGCCTCCAGAGGCCCTGGCCGGGCCGAGGGCCGTCGAAAAACAAGTCGGGATGGAGAAGCGGTCCCGGGGAAGGGGTTTCAGATTTCTGAGGGTCCGCTTTGTTTACAAGTCACGTCGTACGGGGAGGGGGGAGTAGGGGGAGGAGGAGGAGGAGGACGAACAACAATAACAATAGTAACAACAATAGTAATAATATAACTATACGAAAATATTACGAATAATGCGAATCATAGACATCAGACGAAGAGGATCATGAGGAGGAGGAGCAGGAGGAGGAGGAGGAGGGGGGCGGAGGAGAAGGAGGAGGAGGAGGAAGAGGAAGAGACGGATGAGGAGGAGGAATAATAATAAGAAGAAACACATTAAGAAACTGAGGAGGAGGATGGCGGAGGAGGAGGAGGAGGAGGCGGAGGAGGCGGAAAAGGAGGAGGAACAGGGGGAGAGGAATGGGTTAGATGGTTTCCAGAAGTTCCCAGGCGCAGCAGAAAGAGGAGGAGGAATGGGAGGAGGATCATGATGAGGAGGAGGAGCATGCAGGTCCTAGAGTAGCATGCAGGTTTTAGGCTGGGGGCTCTTAGATCTGTAAGACGGGTTCGTTAGATGATGATGATACTGATGTTGATTAGATTGATGATGATGATGACGATGATGATGATGATGATGCTGATGATGCTTACGGTCATGATACTGGTGATGCTGATGCTGCTGATTATGATGTTGCTGAAAATGATAATTATGAGATTGAATATGTTGCTGATGATGACGATGCCGATGCTGCTGATGATGCTTATGATGCTCATGATGACGATGATGATGATTATGAAGATGAAGATGATGATGCTACTGATTATGATGATGATGATGATGATGATGATGGTGATGATGATGATGATGATGATACTGCTGATGCTGATGATGATGCTGATGCTGATGCTGATGCTTATGATGATGTTGCTGCTGCTGATGACGATTATGATGATGAGGATGATGTTGATGATGATGATGCTGGTGGTGATGATGATGCTGATGATGATGATGCTGATGCTGCTGCTGATGATGCTGCTGATGATGATGCTGATGCTGCTGATGATGATGATGTTGATGATGCTGATACTGATGATGATACTGATGATGATGATGATGCTGATGATGGTGATGATGATGATGGTGATGCTGCTGCTGATGCTGATGCTGATGCTGATGCTGAGCTGATGATGATGATGATGACGATGATGGTGATGATGATGATGATGATGATGATGATGATGATGATGATGATGATGATGCTGCTGATGATGATGATGATGATGATGATGATGATGATGATGATGATGATGATGATGATGATGATGATGATGCTGAGGAGGAGGAGGAGGAGGAGGAGGAGGAGAAGGATAAGCAGGAGTATGAGCAGCAGGAGGGGTAAGGAAACGGAGGAGGAGGAAGAGCGGCAGGAGGGGTAAGGAGGAGAAGGAGGAGGAGGAGGAGGAGGAGGAGGAGGAGCGGCAGAAGACAGGCTCGACAGCCAACCAGTTCGGCACAGACCAGTTCAACGAAGACGGGTTCCACAGAAACGAGTTCCACAGGAACCAGTTCCACGCAACAAGTTCTGCAGGATTGACAGAACCAGTTCCACAGTTACGGGTTCCACAGAGCCGGTTCCAGAGAATCAGAGATCGATCCGCCGGAGTGGAAGGTGACCCTCGGGAATGGGTCGAGAGACCATGGGCCACGTGCTGAGAGGATCGCCATGTCGGAGGTCGGATGGCAGATGACAAGCAAAGCACAGCTCGTAGCGTGCTCACGGCTACGAGCCGCTAGTCGGATGACGAGGTGCCCAGGGCGTGCCAAGAGGGCCTCGTCTTCGAGAAGTCGGGAGGTCAGCTTCTCGCCTTCGGCGGATGCCGGCGTAAGGCCCACGGAAGCCTCTGGAAGGCATGAGAGGGCGGCTCCGCCGGCGGACGGCCGGCGGCGGCGCCCTCGAGGGCTTCTCGGAGTCGCCCACGTGAGCGTGTCCCCCCCCCGTGGCGGGGAGCCGCCGCGCTTGGCCAACGAGCAGCGGCACGCGCAGGCCGACCGCAACCGCGCGCCTGCCGATCGTGCTCAGGCCGAGGCCTGTTCAGGTCGCCTCGCGTGGTGTTCCCAGTTTGCCTGGCGCCCTTTCGAGTCGAGCAGCGGTCGAGGCCGAGTCAGGTGAAGCTCTGTGATGGCGCTCCCGCCTCCTCCAACAAGGAAGGCCAAGGCCAGCTTCCGTCGCGGGCAGGGGCGAGCTGTGCAGGAGAGGCACGCGATCGGACAGCCCACGCACCACCTCTCGCTTACAGGCCACACTTTGTTTCTTGTTGGCTGTCTTTGGTTTGCTTTTGAGTTCCTCCTTTTGGCGAAAGGGCCGATGCCCTGCAAGAGTGGCGCCTAGCTGGGAGCAGCGGCGAGGGTGCGGCGCGGGGTGGCAAAGAGGGGGGGGAAGGAGTAGGAGGAGCAGGAGGAGGGGGAGGAGGAGGAGGAGGAGAAGGAGGAGGAGGAGGAGGAGGAGGAGGAGGAGGAGGAGGAGAAGGAGGAGCAGGAGGACGAGGAGAAGGAGGAGGAGGAGGAAGAGGAGGAGGAGGAGGAGGAGGAGGAGGAGGAGGAGGAGGGGGGGAGGCGAAAAAAAACCCGTGAGAGGAAACTTGTTTTTTTTGATTATTTTGATAGGCGGCTCACAAGGACAGCTCCAAGGAGCTGGACGGTCTCGGCTTGGGCACAGGGCGAGAAAATTAGCTGCAGGGGCCCATAGGCCGCGGCAGCGGGTGCACGTGCCAGGGACAAAATGACCCTCATTAAGAGACAGGCGACCCGAATCGGGGAACGCTGGCATCAAACTAGAAAACGGACGACAGGAGCAATCGCACAAATGGCGCCAGCTCTGACCGTACCGAACAGCGCGCACGGGCATGGACCACGCCGCGCTGTGGCGGCACGGAGGGGCTGGGGTGGCCGAACCGTCCAACACGTAGAGGAGGCCAAGGAACAGGAGAGGCACGGCAAGCGCGAGGGCGCGCGGCAGCAGGAAAAGGGGGGAACAGGTGGAGGCTTCACTCACAAGGACTCATAGGATGCACTCGGGCTCGAGCGACCATCCTATTCAAGGAGCCAGCGGCCCTGTCTGAGTCCACGGCCTGCAACTTGCCTGACACTGAGAGTCGGGGGGATGCAGCTGCAAGCGCTGGTCGAGTCCCCTGGACCAACCTGCGGGAGGGCCGTGGTGAACTGCCAAAGGATAAACCACTTGTTCAGTAGCTAGAACTCGGAGGCGACGCCCGCCGTGGAAAGCGAGTCGTCGACGTAGTCGGGGTACAGCGCAGGCAACTTATCCGTCTCAGGGGACGGGGGCATAAAGTCGCGAGCGTCAACCGAGGTAACAGGGGCGGACCTGCCGGGGGAACCGCGGTGACCTGCCAAAGGATGAACCACTTGCCAGGAACACGCTCACCCCAGGTCCGGCCTCAGGTGGTGCCGAAGCGAGGAGGCGTGCAGGTCTGCACCTTGCCGTAGCCCAGAACCTGGAACGCCGCGAGCTAAGCGTGTCCTCGCAGGCGATCCACGCCCCGTCGCGGGGGCGGGAGGATCCCGTTCCTGCGGGGCTGGACAGTCGCTGACCATCGCTGTCCAGATCACTCCCCCGTGAGAGGAAACGAGGAGCGGTAAGTATAGAGTACAGCGCCGTGCGTGGCTCTCAACACCCCCAGGTCGGCGCGGAGGAAACAGGGGCAACGTGCAGTGGGCTTCGTGGGTGTCGATGATTTTGCTGTGGAGAGCGTGGCGTGCCCTCTCCAGCAATCAATGAACGTCCTGGGGTCTCAGGGTTGGGTTTCTGGTGGAAGGTCTCTCGTGGTCGAGGGGGGGGGGGCTCGAGGGGGAGGGGGGGGCAGATCGACTCCCGATCAACCACTGATCCCCCGCAGGGGCCCGATAGCCTCGCCCCGACCAGGAGCGTGCAGGCTCGATGTGGGGGCACATCGCCGAGCTATCGGCGGTGCATCCCCGATTCCGGCCTGATGTCTCCCCCCCCCCGCCCCCCGAGCCGGTCCCCCATTTGACGGTCCCCTTCGGGAGGGGTGGGCGAGGGAAGAGGGGGAAGCCGAGGCCCGCCAGAAGCATGCGGCCCGGGCAGTTGAAGCGAGACGACAGATGCATTCTCACAACCGCACCCTATACTTCTTTCGTTTGGGGGACCTTCCTGGGGCCCACCTGGCGGATCTGTTTGACTCCAGCTCGACTCAAGTTCGACTCAAAGTTCGAACCAAGTCGTCGGACGTTCGGCGCAGCATCGACCATGAGTGGAGCGAGTGGCTCCAGGATGGTTCCCAGAACGAGCATGCAGCATAGAACACCTCTCCAGCTCCGCCTGAATCACTTGATGCAGCTCGCCTTACTTCGTGCGTTGTCATTTGGCCAGCCTCTCCCGAAGTATTTTTTCCCCACATCCAAAGTGGGGTTCTTGTTTTCTCTGGACACCCCGCGCAGGAACAGGAACCCACCATCATCATCATCACTCATTCCTCACCCACTCACTCATCATCCCTCACACACTCACTCACTCACTCACTCACTCACTCACTCACTCACTCACTCACTCACGCACTGACTCATCAGCACTCACATATGATGATGATGAGTGTGCGCGTGAGGGAGTGTGATGATCATCATCATTACCAGTCAGTCAGTCACTCACTCACTCACTCGCCTTGGGCCTCGTCTGCGAGTGAATTGCGAGGAAGTCTCAAGCGGGAGCCCCCTCCCTATGGGGCCCGCGGATCACGTTACTAATCCGAGCGGGTCGTCCAATTCCTGTAACTGTCGCCATTTTTGGGCTCTCGCGCTGCCAGAACGCCATTCCCAGGCCACATCTGTGAGTCAATTGCGAGGAAGTCTCAAGCGGGAGCCCCGTCCCTATGGGGCACGCGGATCATGTTACTAATCCGAGCGGGTCATCCAATTCCTGTAAGTGTCGCCATTTTTGGGCTCTCGCGCTGCCAGAACGCCATTCCCAGACCACATCTGTGAGTGAATCGCGAGGAAGTCTCAAGCGGGAGCCCCCTCCCTATGAGGCCCGCGGAACATGTTACTAATCCGAGCGGGTTGTCCAATTCCTGTAACTGTCGCCATTTTTGGGCTCTCGCGCTGCCAGAACGCCACTCCCAGGCTACATTTTGAATGCCCGGAGCCAACTGTAGGCCACTTCGTGTTCTTCGTGCTCCCAGAACACAATTCCCGGGCCACGTCTTGAATGCCTGGAGCCAACTGTAGGCCACTTCTTGTTCTTCGTGTTCCCAGAACACCACTCCCGGGCCACTTTTTGAATGTCCGGAGCCAAAACAGGAGGGCGAGGTCGGGGGCAACGTAGGGAGCAGGGGGAAGGCCCGCGCCAGGGCGAGAAGAAATATACGCAGAAGAGACAGCCAGGACGCCTCACCAACCACGAGGACGACGGTGAGGGCTTTTTCCAGATTCACCCAGAGGATTCTCATGCGGGGTCCTTCCGTCGGAGTAATTGGGGGGGCGCCAGATCGCAGCTCACCTTGCTCTTCTTCGTCGTCGCCGGCGTCCTCCCTCCCCCCTCGAGCCGCCCCGCTCACGAACCGCACTGGGAACCACGGTGCGCCCTGGGCTCCAACCGATCTATCACCTGGCCGCCCTTCTCTGCCTCGCCCCGCCTCGCCCGCTGGGCGGCGAGAGGCCCTCCAGAAGCGCTTCGTGGAGAACGCCCAGCGGCAGCGGGGGGCCCGGCCCTGCCCGCCCCCCCCCCCGGGCTGGGAGGCTCCCGGAGCCCGCCGGGCGGCTCGGGCAGCGCCCAGGTGGGGTCCCCACTGTGGGAGAGTCGGAAGTCCGACGCGATCGCCCAGGCCCGCCTCTCACCCTCGGGGGAACGGAGGAGCGACACCATCGCCACCATGGGGGCACCTCCTCCTCCCTCCTCCTCCTCCTCCTCCTCCTCCTCCTCCTCCTCCTCCTCCTCCTCCTCCTCCTCCTCCTCCTCCTCCTCCTCCTCCTGGGCTCTGCAGGATCGAAGCGAGATGCCACAATCGAAGCTCGTGGAGGTCTCCTCTTTGGACGTGTGGGGTCGCTTTGGGGGGGACTCTGGGGGGTGCTCTCGGGGGCCCGCTTTGCAGAGGGAGCGCCGCGTCCTCGAGCAAAGTGGCGACCCCCCCCCAAGTGGCGGCCCCCCTTGGCATTGCAGGGCAGGTGGCAGGGAGCGCCGCGAGGACGTGCTCTGGAGCAGACGTGCGGGGAGGAGCAGCTCGGGGGTCGCCCGAGGTGCTCCCGCCCCAACGCAGACCTCCGGTGCCTCTGGTCCGGTACACCCGTCTGGGACCCCGCCCAGGACCTGGGCGGAATCGCTCTCGGGGGCCCGTCGCCGACCTATCGGCGATGTGTCGCCGATTCCAGGTCGATGCGTCCCCCCCCTCAGCCACTTCCCCCTTCGCGCCCCCCCCCCCGCCCCTCAGGGGGGGGTACCTCGTCGTCGTCTTCGACGGCCTCGAAGGGCCTCCAGACGCCTCCAGAGGCCTCCAGAGGTCTGCGAAGGCTTCCAGGGGCTCCTGGAGACCTTCAGAGGTGGCCGTCTTCGTCCTTGTCCTCGTCCTCGCGCTCGTCCTCTTCCTCGTCCTCGTCATCGTTCTCGTTCTCGTTCTCGCCGTCCTCGTCCTCGCTCTCGTCCTGGTCCTCTTCCTTGTCCTCGTCCTCGTTGTCGTGGTTGTCCTTGTCCTCCTTGCTCTCGTCTTCGTCCTCGTCGTCGTCGTCGTCGTCACCGTAGTTTCCGAGGGCCTCGGGAGGGCCTCCAGGCGCCTCCAGAAGCCTCCGCAGACCTGATCGCAGGACATCTCTGGTGACCTTTAGATGCGGCCGTCGTCGCCGCCTTCGTCATCTTCCTCCTCCTCGAGGGCCTGGAAGGGCCTCCAGACTCCAGGTGCCTCCAGAGGCTTCTGGAGATATCCTGAGGCCTCCGGAAACTTCTGGAGACCTTCAGAGGTGGTCGTCGTCGTTGTCGTCGTCGTCATCCTCGTCCTCGTCCTCGTCCTCGTCCTCGTCCTCGTCCTCGTCTTCGTCGTCCTCGGCCTCGCTTTTGTCCTCGTCCTCGACATCGTCGTCGTCGTCTTTGTCGTCGTCGTCGTCGCCGTCCTCGTCTTCATCTTCGGCTTCGTCCTCGTCGTCGTCGTTGTCCAGCGCCCGGGGTCCCCTTCGCGGGGCCCGACGATCACGTTGCCGTTCCCCCCACCGCAGGGTGGCCCGACCCCGCGCCTCCCCCCCCTCCCCTCGTGACGGACGTTGCAGGGGGGGTGGAGATCAAGAACAATCGCCTGGTCGTTCGCCGTTCGTCGGAGGCGCCTGAGATGGCGCCAGCGCTGATGATACAGATGTCTGTCAGAGCAGGAAAAGGTACCCATGCCACCACCCTTCGCCCGTTCTCCTCTGTTTCGGCCTCCTGGGGGGCCCTCGTCTTCACCGCTGGATTCGCCCCGAAATCCTGGTCAGAACGCACCCCAGGAGAGGTCCGAGGGGGGTATTGATACCCTTTGCTTTGCCCTTTTTGTGTGCGCGCACTCTTCGTGGCTGCCGCCCTCGCCTCGGCGCCGTGCCTGCAGCACGTCCGCAGCATGCCGTCAGCACACGCTGTGCGTTGTGGGTCTGTGTGCGTGCCCGCGTTCTCGTTTTGTGCGTGCGTGTGTGCGTGTGTGCGTGTGTGCGTGCGTGCGTGTGTGTGTGTGCGTAAGTGTGCGTGTGTGTGTGTGTGTGTGTGTGTGTGCGTGTGCGTGTGCGTGTGTGTGCGTGTGTGTGTTTGTGTGTGAGAGAGAGAGAGAGAGAGAGAGAGTTTGTGTGTGTGTGTGTGTGCGTGCATGTATGGCAACCCTCCGCATCTCCCTTTTTTCTCTCCCACTTCGTCCGGAAGGCTGAACTACAGCTGTTGCTGGGGCCGGCGGCTTGCTTGGGAGTCATGATGCCTGCGGATGCAGGGTGTTGGAATGATATCCGAGGTCAGAACTCCTATCCGCCTTCCTCGAGAAGTGCTCCGCGACCCTTTCTTGTGTTTAGCACATGTGTAGCACATGTCAGCCAGATGTAGGAGGAGGGGTGGGTGGAGAGGGGGTCGGAGTAACACATGAATGAGGGGGGAGCGAGATGGCAAATAAGGTCCACATTCCCAACATCACAAAATTCGCAGGAGTGCAACAGGTGGATGGAACGGAGGCAGGGGCTGGTGATTGTATGCGCTGTGTACCGTTTTCAGGCGGAGGCACGGGTTCATCGTGACAGCTTGGCACAGCTAGACGGCCTCTCCTCTCCCTCCTGCCAAGATTGCAGACCACGCCCGTTCCGCCTCCCTGTGGCCAGCATCATCGGAAGCTCTCAAGAGGTCCCTGAATGTCGCTTGTCAGGAGCAGCGCAGGGGGGGGGGGGGGGGCGACGCGTCGACCCCCAATCGCCCCCTGGTCGCAGGTAGGGGCCCGGCAGCCCACCCCTGGCCAGGCACGTGCGGCTGCGCTATCGGAGGGCTACCACCGATCTGTCGGCGATGTGTCGCAGATGCAACGTTTCCCCCCCCCCCCCCCCCCTCTGGGCCCGTGCCCCCCCTGACGTTCCCTCTCACCCTGGAGGCCCCCAGAGGCTGGAGGCCTCTGGGGCCCGAAGAGGGCCGCATGCGTCCAGAAGCCAGGATCGCTGAGCCTCGTTCCTCGGCAGCCGCAGCGCAGCATCGTGAGGGTTTATGCCCTTTTGGCTTGACTCCCGGGCGATGCTACGCAAGTCGCGCACTTTTGTTTTTTTGGGGGACGAGAGCTGGGCATGTTGGCTCGTGGGATCAGGGCTTGAGTCCCATGGCGGCGACGACCGGTCGGGAGAAGAAGAAGGCTCCAGTTTCGAGGATCGAGCTTTTCGAGTATCAGCCATGGTGGTGACGAAGTGGCTCCGGGAGGCGTCGAAGGGGTGATGCAATGATGGCCAAGGATTTGGTTGGGTGAAGATGGATGACCCGTCGATCCTCTTGTCGTTCGTTCCTCCTGCCCTCTCTCCCTCCGCCTCGCCTCTTGTCCTCGCTTGTCGTGCGTCCCTCTCTCCCTTCGTGCGTCCTTTCCCCTCCCTGGCTGCACCGCGAAGAAGACTGCCGCCGCACAATTTTCACACCATGGCGCCACGGCGCCCGCCTGCAGCGCCCCCGAATCCGAGTCCGAAGATGGATGAGCTAACTTATCTGAAGCAGTTGATACTGGAACTCACTGGGACAACGGTGAGCCGAGGATGAGGTGGAGGACCGAGGAGGAGGAGGGGCTTGGAGGAGGAGTTGAGCAGGTGGGTGCACAGGAGTCGGTTGGGGTCAGCCGTCGGCCGCTGACCTCGTACCCTGCCAGGTGCTCCGGTCCACTGCGCAGGAAGAGCCGCCCGATCGCCTTATGAGTCAGAGTTCTTCACCCGAGGCCTTCAGGCGGGGGGCATGCCTCGCCTCAGCCCCATCTGCGTCTCGAGAGGCTGCCCATGGTAGGTTCTCGTCAAGTCGACCTGCGGCGACCCCAGCGCGGGCGTGTAAGGTTGAACGCCGCCCGTGGCCCAGAATCAGCCCATCGTTGGACGATCTGGCGTTTCTGAAACGGCCGATCGTTCAAGTTCGAACGATCCCGCGTGTCAGGAAGCAACGCCAAGGTCGACACGACGCGAACCTGCCGTACCCATGGAATGATCTGCACTGTTTGGGTGCCGCTCTGGGAATGCGCGCACTACCTGCAGTACCTTGAGCTGTCCGACCGACTGGAACCCCAGCTGCGCTGCGGTGGTAACCCTGGGCCAGCTAACAGAATTTCATGAGCGTCGACTTTCGCTGGACGCTTGTTGCACTGGGTTTTGATGCGTGGGAGCAATCTCACATAAAATGCCGCAACGCCGTATCACTATTGCGCCCTCCTTGGAGGAGGAAGGGGAGCATAGAGGGAGGAGGAGGAGGAGGAGGAGGAGGAGGAGGTCCATTGTTCAGCAACGATGTTGGAATGCGCCCTCCCTCCAAGCTCCCTCATCACAGGCCCCTACAAGTGTTCACTTCGAATTAGGGAATAGTCCCGTTGGGGGACAATCGTGTGAAATTCCTGAAACGTGCCAAACACCAGTCTCGGGACTACCACGCCACGAGTTATCCTGGCTCTTGCGTCTTGGCGATTCTGAATCGCGCCAGATCACCATTTCCGAGATTTCAAAACCGCGAATCGACGTAAGTGCTGCGCCTTGCCAATCCTGAATCGCTCCCATACACCATTCCTGGTACGTTAACCATGAGAACAAATGAAAGTCTTGCAATTGTTTAGAACGAGTGTGCGCTGTGCTAAGGCGAGAACAACTTTTTGAAAACGACCCGCCCTCAATCCGTGAAGCTCTTGCAATGTGTTAAACGAATGTGGGCGGCGCTAGGGCGAGAGCCACTTTTTGAAAACGACCCGCCCTCAAGGTGTGATGGTCGTGTATTTGTTTGTCTCAACAATCCTGTGGTGATGGGTCCCCGCTTTGAAGAAAACAGCACCCCGCGTCTCCTCCTTCCTCCTCCCTCCTCTCACTCCGCTGGCCCAAGTCGTTGCCCTGTGGGGAGCTCCACCGATGGTCCCAATGGCAGTGTTCGCATGCACTTCCCCCGCCCAGTACAGCGCTTCGTGGCCCCATAGGGAGCGCTACCGAAGGCCTCAGTGGCGATGTTCGCATGCGTTTCCCCGCCCAGTTCAGCGTTTTGTTGCCCCATAGGGACCTCCACCGAAGGCCGCCGTGGCGGTGTTCGCATGGGCTTCCCACGCTCAGCTCAGCGTTTGATGACCCTATATGGAGCTCCACCGAAGGCCTCCATGGCGCTGTTCGCATGCGTTTTATCCAGCGCAATACGGCGCTCCGTGGCCCC